TACACACTGGTACCACACATCAGGCGAGTGGTCGTGGAACTCTGCAAAGGATTCAAAGAAATACTGCTGGTACGGACAACTTCCTTTAAACACCTTCATATTCTCCACTGTCCACGGAAGCACTATAGGAAACCGGAAAATGTTTAAAGGCGGGAATGTTTAAATTCCGATATTCCGAAATAGCTCAAATATTTGCATATTTTCAGCAGTGACCAATAGCTGGCAAGACTGCCGATGTCCCCTTCACCCCAAAACTCTAGTAGAAGCAAGCTAATAGCAGTATGAAAAATTTCCAGAACATAAAAATGCGAAGGCAATGAAGACTCAGGCTGGGACGCGCCTGGCTTGCCAGTGCGATTATACGTTTTTCCACTAAATTTGAAGCAGTCAGATCGTCAATCATATGAGTGGTTGTTGCTTTATATTTAGCTTGTTACTCTCTAGCGTAAATCAGCTGCTGAATGATCGTACACCACTGAAAATGAACTTTCTGTTCATTGGTTGGCTTTCCCGCAAAAATTTTTATTTGCCCGTACGTATCTACCACGCACGTTTGGGGACTGTAATTGAAATCAGATAATACAAGGATGAAGAAATATCCCTTTAAAATTTCAGCATTCCAGCTTTTTTTTCTAGTCTCCCTAATTGGCAATTCTCCAGCCAGAATTTTCACATGCACTGAGGGTTCCCCTTCCTGTGCTTAAAAGTTGCTATTACGTTTTCCGCGCCCCGCAGAGTCGTACAATATTTTCACTAGATTTCAAGTTTCTTGCCTGCCTGCCTGACTGTTGAGTGAGTAGGACGATGGCACCGTTGTAAATTAAACAGTTTGTGTGTCTCTGCGAGAGACACATTCTTAAGCAAAATCCCATCTTATGCTTGCCCCACTTAAGCACCAAACATCCTCAGAAAAATGCTGTCTCTCGCACAGTTTGTTTAACAAATTCAATTGGATGCCAACAAACTGAATATTCACTTGCGCACACGCAAGTGAATATTTATACGATGCTTTAAATCTGAATTTGAAATATTTAGGTCCCACATGAAGAATTTCAGCCTCCTTTCTTCATTCTAGATTACAAGAAGTTGTACCTTTAGTAGTACTGAAAATTTCAGATTTTACTAAGAATTTAAGAATTTCTTGACACTGAAGGAGAATTTGTTTCAGGTTACTATACTTCTAGTTGTGCTTATGTTCATATTCGCTAGCTTTGGCGTGCAGATCGTAGGCGGAAAATTAGCAGCATGCAACGACCCAGCAATCACTGAAAGGGTTTGTTCATTCGAATACGTCGAAATCAGATACATGAAATTGCCTTATGTTGACGTGAGATCCAAGCAGTTGGAGCAGTTACAAATCAAGTGCGATCATGCGTTTTTGCACTAAACTTGGAGCAACCAGATCATTAATTGCATGAATGGTTGTCACTTACGTCACTGCCCCTGCAAATTCTACATAAAGGAAAATAAATAATTTCCTTTGGCCAGTCGTTCATTTGAAATGATCTGGCTGTTATGATTTCCGAGCTAGCAGTTTTCCTGCCAAAAACTTCGTGTCCATACATGAGAGTCAAGTGTATCCAGAAGCTGAATTTGAAGTTCTTAATTTTCACTTGGGCAGCGAACATCCCCTTAAAATTTCGGCTTTCAAGTTTTTGATTTTGAATTAACAACTTTCCTGCCAAAATTTTTATGTGTCCATGGGAACTAGGCGTTCTCAGGAATTGAAATCTTTAATTTGTAGTTGGACAGGGAACATTTTTTTAAAATTTCAGCTTTTCAGCTTCTACGGAGTTAGTAATTTTCCCACCAAAACTTGCATGTGCCCGTGAGACCCAAACGTGCGGGAAAATCAATATCACACTTCCTGAGAGTATATGCGTTTTCGCATTTCCATAAATGCGCAAAAATGCATAAATCATAAAAAATACAGCAACTCTTCTCTCGCCTCAATTATACTACTTCTTCCGCTACTGACTGGCACTCTCTCTCTTTTTCGTGGCGAAAAGAAACGTCTAGTTGTTTGTTTAGACGAGATGTTGATAGAAAGAAACCGTCCAGACAAAAAGATGACAGTCATAGCGCTTAAATATTTTTCCTTTCAATAGATACGTAGAAGCGACTTCACACTCAGCTGGGGTCTTAGCACTAGAGCAGATACAAAGGTGTATGCAAGGCTGAATTTTTGACTATGAGATGCATATAATGAGAAATCATTGTCGTGAAATTTCGGCTTACTGTCTTCTCTAGTTGCTGAGTTGAAAAACCCGGACAAATGTAGAAAAACACTCAAAAAAACGCAGACAGACATGATCTCGACATTATTTGTTCTTGCACAGCACCAGTGATGCGAAAACGCATAATGAGATAGTGCATAAAACACCAAAAAGGGGAGCGGTTTTTTTGAAAATTATGAATTAGAGAAGTAGTGCTTTTCAAAGCATCAAAAGAAAAACTTTGTAGGTCTGAACTTTTTTCGGGAGATTACTTCTGAAAACTGTGAATATAGGAAGTTATACTTTCTGTAACACCGGGAAAAGGTTTAGTTATTTTTTAAGACTGAGAATTCTTTGGCACTGAAGGGGGATTTTAAGTATGTATGTATCAGCACAACTTTCAGGAAAAATGCTTTGGCTTGTTCGAGCAGAAAATATTTGTC